CCTGTGTAGAACCAGAGTCATTCCCCTCCCCCTTCACTTGTGCATCCATCTGTCGCCTAAGGGAAGAAGCCGTCCCTGACAACCTCCGTTCTCTTCTTTTTGCCCGACTTACCTTGTCCATCAAGGTAGCTTTGCATTTCGTTCCTACCTTCTACGGCTGTCCATCCGTTTTTGTGTCGTGAGCAGATCTGTGACTTCGGTTGGACTTCGGTACTCCTCCTGCCCCCTCCCCCCACCGCCCCAGTCTCTTCTCCAACTCGAACAGGCGCGATTATAAAGGGCTTCCGGAGTAGCTTTTGGGCTGGCTCTGTGCCCAGCTGGCTACTGTGCTGTTCAGTAGGAATCACACCCGCAATCCCTGGTTAACACGGGTGTTTTCTCTCCTGTGGTGTGTCCAGAGGCCAACAGTTTGCTCAGCAGATGCAGCAGCAAAATCCGGAGCTCATAGAACAGCTGCGTAGCCAGATCAGGAGCCGGACCCCCAGTGCCAGCAACGAGGAGCAGCAGGAATGAGGCAGCCGCTGGTAAGGAGCCGGGGGAGGGGCGAGCATCTGTGCGAGTGGCCTTGGGGAAAGGGGGCTTAGCGGAGGAAGAAATGGATCAGGTGGCTAAAAGGCCCAGTGGGAGGTTTTGCACTTGCTAGATCCGGGTCAGCCGTCCCTGGCAAACCAGACAAGAAACACAACCAGAAGACCTGAATCTGCTTGAATTGTGGGCTGCATTAACAAACCCCCGCATGTCTGAAGGCACACATTTCCCCCTGCCACTTTTGACGGCTTGACCCATTAGGAGGGCGGGTCTTCCCTGCGTTTCTTCTGACCGCTGCCAGATCCCGGAGGCTCCTGTCTGACCTTTTCCTAGGCAGCATCCCATTCCCTCTTTCTCTAAGGTCATTCTCAAACTACACTTCCTCCGCCCCCCTCTATTTTGTGGGTGGTTTGCAGCAGGCCCAAAGGGGGCAGGGTGGGGAAGTGCAGGGATCCAGGGAGGACCAGTGACTGGAATGGGGTCCTCACTGTGTGAGGGAGGCATCTTCTGAGGGGAGACCCCCCATCTGCCCCATGAAGTCGGAGACCGTCCCCTCGGGAGGAAAAGGGCCAAGGAAGGAGGCCTGAGACACGGAGGGGAGGCACTGGCAGGGAGGGCGCCAGGGGGGAGGGGTGCCCTCCTGATCAGAAGCTCCTTAGCCTCCTGGACCCATTTGCATAACTCCTCCTGCCCAAGTGCTGGGCTGCCTGCTGAATGGATGTCCAAGTGGGGGGAGGGCTTAGGTGAGCTGCCGAAGGCCCCGGAAGCCACCCACTCCTGGCCAAGGCGTGCTTATGTTTGTCTCCGTCTTTCAGGACTCTGCTCCTGGTCAGGAAGACCCCTTTCGCCCCAAGGGAAGGACCAGCTGAAGAGCCTTCCAGCTGCTGCTGCTGCTGCTACTAGCCGTTCTTCCTCTGGAAAAGCCCACGAGGGATTGGGGGTGGGGGGAGCCAAGCCTGATCCGGCCTGCATGTTAGAGACTTTTGGTAGCCTCCCCTCCCTGCTCCCTCCCCACCTTACTCCCGAGTGGACCTGGTCAGGGGAGCGGAGAGTGTGACTGTCTGCAGATCAGCATCTACCCCCCACCCCCTCCACCACTCTGGGCACCCCGAAGGCAAGCTGTGGGTCTGTCAACGTCACGCCTGTCCTGTTGCTCAGAAGAAACCGCCCCCTCCAGAGACCGTGTCCTCCTCCAGCAGGGAGCGTTGCCTTTCCCAAGCCGGGATTTCCTCCTCGTCACCATTGCTGGATCCTGGCACACCAAGGCTAGATGGCCCCTCTTGGGGAGAGGCCCAGTTGACTGGCTGGGAGAGGAGCTGGTGGGACTGGCATCGGTGCCCAGGGAAGATGGGCGGCCTCTCCTGTGCTTTCCAGTAGGACGTTTACTTTCAAAAAGGGCCGTGGCTAGTTTGGTGTGACTTTTCTGTGAGTAGGGAGGGGGGGAGGGGGGGCAGAGTGGGGGTTTCTTTTGAAAATGTGTTTCTTTGGGTTGGGGCCTGGGGAACTTGCCTGGGTGGACTGGCTAACAGGCCATTTCCTGCCCAGCATGAAGGGTGCCAGGAGGACTGGGCTGCTTTTCTGAAGTGCTCTCCTTGTGGCCAGGACTCCCCTCAGCATCGGGTGTCCAGAGTGTGACTCCCACCAGTGGAGGTGCATCCCGGAGGGTGTTTGTGGCTGCTCTCATTTGAATGTCCCAGATCCCCTCCAGCCAGCAGAATGGGACGGATGGCAGCCCAAGGGCCTTGGGGAAGGAGGGTTGCCCGTCCTCAGTGCCATCTGCCAGGAGCCCCCTAGAGACTGGCCTGCCCTGCATCAGCCGGGCCCCTTTGCTGGCCAGCCGGGGGCTCTGGAGAGGAGCAACGGGCCCAGGAACCTTCTGGTGCCCTCCTGGCCAGCCCGGGTGTGCCTGCCCCACTGGCTGCCACGGGCAGAGCCTTGTTGTGTGTCTGGTTTCTCACCTGGCCCTTGTCGGGGCTGCAGGGTAAAAAGCCATCTTGTGGAACCACTGGGGCAGATGCAGAAGTAGGAAGAGGGTGGGGTGGAGTCCTACCCATGGCCCCTTTTTGTGGGTCCGGCACGCGGGGAGGGAGAAGCTGCCAGGCTAGAAAGGTAAGTGGGGTGGGGTGGGGTGGGGTGAACCGAACCCCAGGGTGCTTCCAATAAGTGAGGGGCTGAAGAATCACCGTCTGTCTCCAGCAATGGCTTTTCTTTGATGTAGGAAATAAACTTCTTTGGACACTGTTGGCTGGTACCTAAAGGGCAAAGGGAAGTGGGTGTCACACCCCCCCCAAAAGTGGCTTCAGGAGGGAAGTGTGTGTGTGGGGGCTTTCCTGGTCTGGGTAGGGGAAGGGAAGGGGCAGGGAAGCCTTTGGGGGGGGGTCTCCGCCTGGGAGCTGCCAAGCGTGTTTGGGGGTTTAGCCCTTCAATCTCAGCCAGAGGGACGAAGAGCTTGGGGGGGGTGGGGGGGTGTCACGCATGTTCGGCCTCAGCTGCGAAAAGATGGCCTCCAACCGGGGTTTCTGGAGGGTTGGAGGAGCGTTTCCCGAGGGGAGCCCGGTGGGGCCCTCGGGTAGACCCTCCGCTGGCGGCGGAAGCCACCGGGCTTCAGGACGTCCCCGCCCCGAGGAGAACGAGGGAATTCGTGGCGCTCCGGAACCTCTTCGCGGGAGGCGCGTTCCGCCCGGCCGCCTTTCTCGCGCGCACCGAGGGCGGCCCTCCCTTCACCGTCGCCGTGACGTCACCGGCCGAGGCGGCGAGGAGTCGCCCTGAGCGGAGGGCCGCCGGAAGGCCGGGGAGGAGGAGGAGGCGGCGGCGGCGGCGTCCCGGGGGCCCTTGGGCGGAGGCTCCTCGGGGCTCCCTCAGCCGGCGGGCATGGAGGTGGTGGCGGCGAAGGTGCTGTGCCTGGTGGGCACGCTGGCGCTGATGCTGGCGGGCGCCCTGCTGCCGGTGAAGGTGCTGGAGGCGGACCCCGAGCGGGCGCAGCGATCCCGGCGGGCCCTCGGCCTCTGCAACGCGCTCGGCGGCGGCGTCTTCTTGGCCACCTGCTTCAACGCGCTGCTCCCCGCCGTGCGCGAGAAGGTACCGCGAACGGGGCTCGGCCCCCCCCCGCCCAGTCCGGCGTTTCCTCCGGGCCCCCCGGAGGTCGGTGGGGGCTCTCGGTTGCCCCCCCTTCCTAAACTGGGCCCGGCTGCGGTGCGACATCGATGGGCGGGGGGAGGAGGAGGAAACGTACGGCGAGGCCTTCGGGGGAGGCCCCGGCTTTTCTGCCGTTGACTGCTGGGCTTGGTCCGTTTGGTGCAGCCGGTCGGGATCGTCCTGGACCCTTACCCCCCCCCCCCCCAGGGACGGTCCCCCTCCCGGCCCTCCCCTCCCCCAACGAGCCTGGGGCTTCCCTGTAAGAACTCTCCTCCCCCACTCCAGGCATTCAATTCCTTCCACGGAAAAGGCCCCCGCCGCCCCCCCCTTTCCTCCGCAGCGGTTCGTCCCCTGCTCGCTCGCTCGCTCTCCGCATTGCAACCATTGGACTTCCGAGCCTCTGTCTTGGGAAACTTCCCTCCGAAGGGTTTCTGGCTGCGGGAAGCCGCCCATCCGCTGGTTGAAATGGGCGCTTCTGGAGGCCAATTTGCACGCCTAGCAATTTCTCTTCCGGCTGGTCCTCCCGTCGTGAGACGGTCATAGGGGCCCGGGGGGGGGAGGGGCTTGGAGCGCCCTGCAGCCACGGCTGAGTCGCTTTTCCACCTGGGGGCCCCCCATCCATGCCCCCCGCCGCCCCCCCCCCGCGCCCCCCCCCCCCTGCGCGGGGGGGGCCGCCCCCCCCCCCCCCCCCCCCCCCCCGCCCCCCAGCTTCCTCATTCAACCAGGACATCCCTGCAGGCTAAGATCAGACTCAGGAGAACAAATCCCTTCTTCAGCCTTGTAGAAAATGAATCGGGGGGGGGGGGGGGGCTTGAGAAATTCAGGGGGCTTTGGTGAGTGATCCCGCCTGTCTTCTGCTTCTGCAACCCAACTCTTTGTGTTTAAACTCAACTGTTTCCCAAGTTTCTGTGGAGCCTAAGGAGTCCTTGGCTTTCCTGAAGATTTCTGCAGAGCCCAAAACTGGAGAGTTCTGAATGCAGCCCACCTCCCCCCAGTAAGAGGAGGGCTGTGGAGGCCTCAGCAGGTGAGCAGAATTTGGATTGTCGCCTTCTGTCTTGCAGCTCCAGGAGGTTTTGAAACTGGGGAACGTGACCACCGATTATCCTCTGGCAGAGACCATCATGATGCTGGGATTCTTCACGACCGTCTTTGTGGAGCAGCTGGTCTTGACCTTCCGGAAGGAGAAGCCGTCCTTCATTGACCTGGAGACCTTCAATGCTGGCTCAGACGTGGGCAGCGACTCCGAGTACGAGAGCCCCTTCATCGAGCCTTCCTGGGGTCACAGCCACCGGGCCGACCGTGGCCGCCACAGCCACGGGCTGGCCATCTGCGAGCTCTCCCGTTCCAGCCCGCTGCGGCTCTTCAGCCTGGTCTTTGCCTTGTCCGCCCACTCCATTTTTGAAGGCCTGGCCCTGGGCCTGCAGGAGGAGGGCGACAGAGTCATGAGCCTCTTCCTGGGGGTGGCCATCCACGAGACTCTGGTGGCCGTGGCCCTGGGGATCAACATGGCCAAAACCGGGCTGAAGATCAAGGAGGCGTCCAAGCTGGCCGCTGCCGTCAGCCTGATGATCCCGCTGGGTATTGGCATTGGCATGGGCATTGAGAGCGCCCAGAACGTGGCCAGCAGCGTGGCCTCGGTCGTCCTGCAAGGAGTCGCCGGGGGCACCTTCCTCTTCGTCACCTTCTTTGAGATCCTGGCCAAGGAGCTGGAGGACCAGAGCGACCGTCTGCTCAAAGTCCTCTTCCTGGTTCTGGGCTACGCAGCCCTGGCAGGCCTCGTTTTCTTTAAGTGGTGACAGGCCTTGTCCCGGGAATGGGCCAGGGCTCTCCTTCGCCTGGCCGGAGGAGAGCCGGGGGGGGGGGGGCACCAAGAGGTGCACCGTTCTGAGCGCTGGCCTCTTCCCCGGCCATTTCCTCCCTTCCGGGGGAGGGGGGGTAGCTGGGAAGACGGTGTCCTTTTCAGACATAGAAGGCAACCTGGCACTGCGCTTGGTGGACCCACCGTGGCCTCGGACTGGCACAAGCGGTGAATTGGGGGCGGGCTCTGACCTTTAACTGAAGGGTAAAGGCAAGTTTCCTGACCCCCCCCCCCCCCTCCCACCCCCTCTTCTCTTGGTGAAATATTTGCCTTGGCCAGGCACTGCCGGTTCATTTCCTCCTCCCGCCAGGAGCTTATTTGGCCCCTGGTGTGGCCAAGACTTCCGCTCCCTGGTGGGGATTTTCCTGTGTTCTTGGTTTGGACCAACCCTTGGAATTCAGGAAGGGGCTGAGCGCGCGGCTTGCTCGGTTCCTCCAGGCAGAGTTCCGCCTCTCGACTGAACCGCAAGGGGGCCGGTTGTCTGCTCACGTACTTCAGGGCACTTTTGTTTTATGCCGCTTGAAGCTCCTTGCTTGATCCTGGGCGCGAGTGTGAGAACGAGAGAGGCTCCTTCGCTGGGCCAGATTTGAGCAACGTGGTTGAGGAACAAAGATTTCCGGGTGCATCTCGGCACCTTTGGGGTCTTTGGAATGTGGCAGGGCTGAAATCCTGGCTGGCTCCGCTCCCTGTGCCCGTCCGCAGCAGAGCCCACAAGAACTGCCAGCCGAGACCAGGCGGGCCCCCTCTGGCGACCTCGGGGGTGCAGCTTCTGCCGGCAGAAAGTTGGCCCGGTTGTAGGTCTGCCTTCCCGGCTTTTTGGCCAAGCTGTGAGTCCAGCCCCTCGATCAAGGCCAGGCAAAGCAGCGAAGAGGCTGCTGATCAGGCTGCTGGGGCTGTAGCTCAGGGACCTCTCCTCCTGCCCCACCCCAAGAACAGGCTTCCCTCCCCTTGGGCTCGGGAGAAGGGGTCCCCCCCCCTCCCCGTCTACGCCTGTACCTCCTTCCCCCCCAGACAGAGGTTAATAGACCCAGGAAGCTGTGGGGGGAGAGGCAATGGAGGACCACCGGCCCCCCTCCTGCTGGTCATTTGGCTGAGGGGATGCAGTGAAGGGAGGGGCGCCTCTTCTCTCCCCCCCCTCTGCTGCAGCTGGGACCCAAAATGGCCGCTCCTGGCTGGCTGGGTGCAAGCGGGCAACTTCCTCCCCAATTGTGGCATCAGCCTGGCTGCTGGCATCCTAAAGCCCTCAAGGCTGGCGGGGAGGAGGCCGCCTCGTGTGTGTGTGTGTGTGTGTGTGTGTGTGTGCGCGCGTGCTTGTTATTTATTGCATTCCTGCTCTGGGATAGGATCGTTGGGTTGTTTTGTTACACTTACTACGTTAATCTCCACTGTGCCGAACTAGCCGGCCTTTGTGGGCTGAAATAAACCCCCTTTGTTGCCCCCCTTTGTGACTTTTGTATCTATTGTGCACAAACTGAGCCACACTTGGGGAGCCGGAGCCCTCCTTTCTCTGGGCATCATGCCGTCCAGAGCCTCACCAGCTTCTCGCCTGGGCAGGAGGCGGCCAAACATGGGCGGAGGGGCAGGGAGAAGCACAGCCTTGTGTTTCCCTCTGGCTGCTGCTCCTCCTCGGCTTCTCCCCAACTCCTGGAGGGGGGCTTCCCCGTCCTCTGCTGCTCCTCCCCGCTTCCTAGACCCAGAGGGAGCTGTGGATCAGCCCTGCCCGGCTTTAGGGGGCCTCAGCAGCACCTGGCCTGGCTGGGCTGAGCACTTGGCATCCCCACCTGGCTGGCGTTTGCAGCTTCCTTCCCTCCCTGGGAAAAGCCCCGGCCTTTTGCCCTTCTGCCTTCGCTGGCCTAAGCCTTGTTCAAGCACCGGGGCCTCTTCCGGCATTGCACTGCTGCTGTGTGATGTGTTGGCGGAGGGTCCAGCCCATGGGGGAGGGGGGGCATTTGCAGAGGAGGCCTCCTTTCCTCCTTGAAGAGGGCTCCGGGGTGGGGGTCGCTGGTGGAGTTTCCTTGCAGAGGTTCTCCATGCTCCTTCCCGTCTTAGCTGGGCTGACCTGATCCAGTCTCTTCCTGCCTCCTCCGAAAGCCAGAGGCCTCCCAGCCCTTGAGGGTCCCATGGCTCCAAGGGAGCCTCACCAGAAGGATCCGCAGGAAAGGGGGCTTCTGGCCACCTGGGGGCAGAGATGTCCCACGCTGCTCCTCCGTGCAAGCAGGGGGGCCCAAGAGGTTCCTCAAGGGAGGAAGCTGAAGGGGCTCTTGGCGCTGGAGTCCAGCTGGGCTGTGATCTGGGGGTCGCTGGGGGCAGCTGTGGCCAAGGTGGTCTTTGCACGGCGGCTCCAACCGTGGGGCCCCTTTCTGGGTCCTCCGCACCATCCGACAATGGTCTGCTTTTGGCAAAGGGCCCCCCTGTGGAGCTGCCTGTGGACTCTGCCCCTGGGGCTGGGATGGGGGGAGGGGAATTCCCCGGGTTCTGTTCTCCAGGGGTCTCTGTGTGTGTGTGTGTGTAGGCCAGGATCCTTTCCAGACACAAGCCTGTGGATCTCATTCCCGGGTGGAGCCGCAAACAAGTCAGTTGCGGGGGGGGGGGGGGGGGGATGGGGGGGGGGCGAGGGGAGCCCCCCGCCCCGGGGGGGGGGGGGCGCGGGCCCCCGGTGAAGGGCGGGGGGGGGGGGGGGGGGGGAGGAGAGAAGGGGGGGGGGGAGGAGGGTCAAGAGAGAAGATCTGCGCCCACCCAGTGAAGGAAGCAGGTCTCTGCCAATTGGGTTGAGGGTGGAACCCAATGCAGGGAGATCGGCATCTCTCCAGCTCTCCTGGCATCCCTCTTGGTTGGCCTGTCCCAGGAGCAGCCCCACTCGAGGAAAGAGCGGGTGGCAGGTGGAGGGTTGCCGGGGCCTTGGCCACTTCCAAGTGGGGTGGGGGGAGTCTCAACATCTTCCTTATATCCTGATGACCAAAACTGGATGCAATAAGTGTGGTTTTACAAGGATTCTGATGCTTCACGCAAGCTTGATTCTGTTCCTCTGTTAATGCATTGGCTTTTTCAGCTACTGCCACACATGGCTGGCTCATATTTAAGTGATTGCGCAGCAGGACTCCAGGATCCCTCCCACAATGACTGCTATTGAGCCAGGTACCACCTATTCTATACCTGCACATTTGGGTTTTCTTGCCTGTGTGTTAAACCTTACTTTCCCTACTGATCCACCTAAGTATCGTGCCGCTGTGCCTCCCGTCTGGACGCAAGTACTCGGGCTTCCGGGAGAGCGCGTCTGCCCATTGGTTGCAACCACTTGGAATATAGGTGACGCGGAAATTAAAGTGGGCAAAGAAAAGGGACCACTGGATCTGGCGCTGATTTAATTTCTGGGCAGTCTTTAAATGCTCCAAATTTTTATGGTCTGTCTGGACTTCTACTTGATGACACGCCCACTCCAAATGGTGCCTCCAGGCCTCAAGCGCCATCTTAATGGCCAGTAGCTCCTTCTCCCAGATGGTATATAGCTATGCTCAGCAGGATTGAGCTTCCTGGAAAAATAAGCGCAAGGGAAATGGTTACCACCAGAGATGTGAGCCTGGAGGAGCGCCACACCAACCGCCACATCAGACACATCCGCTTCCACCACGAATGGATGGTGTGGCTTGGCGTGCTTCAGGATTGGCTCTGTCATGAAGGCCTGCTTCAAATCCTAGAACGCCTGCTGCTCAGGAACACCCCAATGAAACGGGACCTTTTTCTGGAGGAGCCGAGTGAGAGGCGCAGTCAGGGAAGTGAAGCCGGGGATGAAGGTCTGAGGAGTTTCTGGACATCCTTCACTCGCCAGGGAGGTTGCCAACTAAGCAATGACTCAACCTTGCTCGGCTCCATGGAAATGCCTTCCAGAGAGATGCGGTGTCAAAATGTCATTGAGGTAAACCACCACAAATTGATCAAGAAGGTCCTAGAAAATGCTGGAAGATGGCGGGAGCATTGGTCAACCCAAACGGCATGGCCGTATATTCAAAATGCCCATACGAACCCTGTCCTCCACTCATCTCTGGGCCAGATCCACACCAAATTGTACGCCCCCTGCAGGTGCAACTTCATGAACACGGTGGCCTCCCGGAGCCACTCCCATCAGTTCCAGAATCAAAGGCAGAGGGTACCGATTGTGCACCATGATGGCATTCGACCGATGGTAGTCACAGCACAAGCGCAAGTTGCCTGTCTTCTTAACGAACAGGACCGGGGCAGACCAAGGTGATGGCGATGGCCGAATAAACCCCGAATAAAGTGAGGTTTTTGTCCAAAAAGTCCCACAACACGGCCAACTCCGGATTTGACATGGAATACAAATGGCCCACAGGAAGGGGTGTGTCGGGCACCAAATCAATGGAGTAATCATTGTAATCACAACACCTGGGCCTAAGATAGAAACTTGGGATGTCCCACTGCATGCTCCCCACTCCATATAGATGTGGTTCCATTGAGGACTGACTACCCATTGAATAAGGTTGGTCAGCCAGTTACAAATTCATCTGGTGATGAAGTTGTCTAAGCCACATTTTTCTAACTTACTAAGTAGTAGGTCGTGATCTATTTTGTCAAATTCCTTATTGAAATCTAAGTATACCATATCCACAGCATTTTGCTGATCCACTAATTTAGTAATTTTGTCAAAGAATGAAATTAGTTTGGTTTGGCATGATCTGCTTTTGACAAACCCATGTTGGCTTCTGGTTGTAACTTTGGTTGCTTCTCGGCGTTTGCAAATCTGTTGATGATCTTTCCCAGCATCTTCCCGAGTATTGATGTTAGGCTGATTGGTCTGTAGTTTCCTGGATCCATTTTTTTCTCCTTTTTTAAAGATGGGAAGCCCATCGGCTCTAGTACCCCAGACTCCATATCTGTCAGCCCCTTCAGACCTCTGGGATGTAATCCATCAGGTCCCGGTGATTTGAACTCATCTAGGGAGGACAGATCTTCTCTCACCATTTTCTTTCCTATTTTAATGTGCATTTCTATTCCGTCTTTTAAGGTTCTGTTTTTGGTAGGTTGGAATGCTTCCCCCCCCCCCCTTTGCATGAAGGTAGGTGCAAACAATGAATTAAACAGCTCTGGTTTCTCCCTGCTGCTCATCACCTTCCTTGCCACCTCCTCCCATTAGTGGACCATGATTGATTTTCCTTGTTATTTACATGTTGAAACATTATTATTTTTTTGACACTTGTTGCAAGTTTTAGTTCATCCTGAGCCTTACTTTGGTAAGTAAGGGAACTGTGTGCTCCGCCCCGCTTCTTTCCCAATCCCACTCCTGGAGTTCTGTCCTGGGTGTCACTTTTCCTGATGGCCTTACAGATTCTTCAACCACCGACTTGGTGGTCTGGCCCACCCTAGGACGAGGTTTGGAAGGTAGTTCAGTACTGGCGGGTCAATAGGGAGCCCCCCCCCCCTTGCCACCAGATGCCAGCAATGGGCTCTCAGGGAGCCCAGCCTTTTCTGAATCTGGTTTGGGGATCTGGCGGGTCTGGGCCAGGAAACCTGGAGGCGGGGGGATGCCTGGCATGTGGGGCAAAGTCAGGGCTCACCCATTGAAGCTGATCTCTGCTTGGGAGTCAGGCGAAAAAGGCAGGCAGGGGGGAGGTTGCTTTCTTCCACCTGCCTTTCTGCGGGCATCCGGGGCGCCTGGTTGCTGCCATCCGGAAGCCTCCTTTTTCTGCAAGGCCCGCCTTTCTCCAGGGCCGAGGGCCCAGCTGAGGGCCCCACTCTGGCCAGGCTAAGGCGGGGGCGGCCGACCAAGGGCGGGGATCGTTATTGCTCAGTAAAACAGCCCAAGCCACCGATGCAGCCATGCCGGCGGCTCGGGGGCAGGGTGTTCCGGCCAAGTCTGCCCAGGCTCTCTTCGCTGGGCCGCTGCTCCACATCTCGCCCAAATCTGGAAGGAGCCCCGCCCGCGTTTCGCTCCCAAGCGCGCCGCCGCCGCCGCCGCAGCAGCAGCAGCAGCAGCAGCGTGGAGCCGCAGGAGCAGGCGGGGAGAGCCCCTCCGAGAGCGGGGGCGGGAGAGGAAAGCGGGGCGCGGGCAACGGGACCGCGGCGGACTCGTTTGCCGAGCGAGCGCTGCAGAAGCCTCGGCCACGCCGGCAAGCGCCTCCCCGTCCTGCCGTGTGTCAGCGACGTTCACACGTGACGCGCATCCATCCTCCCCCCCCCTCCCCGACGCAGCAGCAGCAGCATCCCTGCTACCGCCGCCGCCGCAGCAACAACCGCCGCCGCGACCCTCTTCCCGCGCCCGCTCGGAGCGCGGTCCCCGGATGGCTCCTTGTCGTGCCGGTCGACTCCGCGCTTCCAGGGCAGGCTGAGCCCCTTCCCGCGCCAGGTAAGACCCGGGAAGACGACGGGGGCCCGGCGGGGAGGGGGCTGCGATGCGGCGAGGCTGGGCGTCCGGACCCCCGAG